TATGGTTCTGATTAATTCAAAATCTGCAGAGTTAAAAGCTAACAGAGATTCACCTAATTGTTCTCAAAAGACATGCTTTTCCCTTTCCAAACTCTGGATTCAGTGGCTGTTTCTCCCTGCAGGAATGATGCAAGCAAAGATTTGATAACTTTGACAAACACAGATCATGCGCATAAGACTAAAAAGGGGAAAGAAAGATTTCAGGCACCACTATCTTACAGGATAAACCGACTTTGGCTTTGGCAGGCTGAAGCCAGGTAGTCCAGGCATCCTGAGGTGAATAACTGTTACATTCACAATAAATCAAGCTGCTGGCATGATACCTACATTGATTTATGTCAAGTTACTTACAGGGCTCTTTGCGCTAAAAACACACTCGTTTTCGACAGGTGAAAATCGACCTAATCCAAACACCCAAATCAATCGTCAATTTCAACTCAAGAAGACTGGAATTGTCGATGCAACAATGCAGCCTGATGAGCTCCCATTTGAGCTGTCAGGTTTTTTGTTGTTTGTTGTTTCTTTTTTTCTTCACTGAAACCCGCAACGCCCGATGTAAATCCTGAACGTGTCAACAAGCTTACCTTTTTCATTTCACTGTAATCAGCGGCAGAAGGGTGTCGGTCACACAGGAATAGTTATCCAGCTCTTACATGCCGTAATATCACAGTCACCCGGCTGCTTATCTGTCGAGAAGGTAAACAAGGCGATCCTATAACATCGCTAAAAATAAAATTGTCTTTCTTTATCTCTTAGTTGGAGCCTATGGCACCATTTCTTTGCGGTCATTGCGTGTCGGTCCTTGTCCACAGCAGCTACAGCGGTGTCTCTCTGACAGCAGCTCGCCGGTTTACTCAGAGATCCATCGCGGCAGGGAAAACGCAGTTTGGAGGCTGCCGGTGATGCTGCAGCAGCAGCGTTTGGTCCGTCGAGACGCGGGATGAGAGAGGTGGGGGTGGGGGCATCCGAGGGCCCACGACAAACCACCCAGCTCCGTAAATGAACTCATCGGACCCGAAATCACGGTTTCATGAGCAAACGGTGGTTGATGAATCATTATGCGCAGAGAGAGGCCACATGAGTGCGTGCGTGCGTTTGGATGTCTATTCTTTCCGTTTGTGAGGAGTGATGCTCCTTGATGATTCAAGGAGAGAGAAGAGGGAGTTTAAAGGAAAAATTCATTCAAAAAGCAGACCGCAGGCCCGAGCTTTGACTGACATCGAGTTGGTGATTTTATCGGATGACGCTTTTTAAAGTTGGTCAGAAACAGCAGATACGATCGTTCCGATCACTGATTAATCAGCCGATTATTTTCATTTTCCATTCTGATTGGGTAAAAGCAAAGGACAAATATCCACGTAATTTGTTAACATCACAAGACAGAAAACAATTGTTTTCAGCCATTAAAAAGAGAAAACAGGGGGGGGGGGAATGTTTATTTTTGGGATGCTGGACCTAGAGTTCTTCCTAGAAAAGTGACTGAAAGAATAAACGGATTATCAATTAGTCTCAGTTGATCAACTGATTGATTTACAGTTGCTACATCCAAGTTAGATGGATGAGCTCAGTGGCGACTCCAGAGTGGGCCCCTCCAACCAGCCTCCCATCGCAGTTATAATATTACTGGGTCATGTCACCGACGGCAGAGCTGGGCACATAGGCTGCTCTGCCGTCTAAGTTAATTGATGTTAAACTTCAGCATACACAAAAGAAGTCGAGTTAAGCCACAGTAAGATACTTTAGTCAAGTCTCTCCCACATTTAGGATCAGATGTGCAGCGTTTGGTTATTTGGTGTTAATCATTATTATCTACGCCACTCACCTCTGTCTCACTTTTTTTTATCCTCTTCCTGTTTATTTTCTTTCTTTTCTCACTTCCAGGATGACTCTTCTTCATTTTTATTGGAGTGGCTAACTCAGTGTAAATGAGAGTTTAAAGACACAGGTACACATCTACAACACGATAAAAGCTGCATCAGCAAACCATTTTCTCAGCTGTAATTGCATTTGGAGATTAGTTAAAAAAATACCTGTACAGTACATGTGCTGTAGAACTGTTTATATAAACAAATACAAAGATTCTTAAAGGACTCAGCTCACTTGCACAAACACGCGCACATGCAGGCCTATAATCAATATTTGAATCATATCTAATTTTTCTGTTTCTTGAGAGACTGGTCTCTCTCGGGAACTCTGATATTAAATTATTACTCCACTGTGAAGCTCTTTATAGCATCTTTCAGCCTATTGTTTGTACTCTCTGGCCTTAATCATGCTGTTTTGGTTCAGTCACACTGTTATTTCCAGCTTCCAGTATCTGATTTCACCAAAGAAAGACATTAACTCACATAGTCTGTGCCTTTCTGCATTAGCATAGTTTCAGTTCACACTGGAAACTACCAGTTTCTCTGGCTATTCTGATAATGCTTACATAAATGTCAGACACTTCTAGCTGTATGAATGCAAAATCCATCTACCATGTTGCCACTCTGCTTTCTGTCTGAGCCATGGTGTTGCCCTCTTTGTTTTGATTCACAAACACGGGCTTATCTTGGGAAATCTCTTATTGTCATTCACTGGACTGGATTATTTTTTAATCCAGATGTTTAGAAAGGTCTTTGGAGACTTTGAAGACACCCTCAGAACAGCTGTAAATTGATTCAAACATGTTAAATAGCTATCCCCAGTCTCAATATATGAAACTGAGTCCTCACGAGTTCAGAGAGTTCAGAGACAGAAAGTCCGGATGTATTATAATGTTGCTCTAAAATTGTGTTCACAGATTGTTATCCAGCAAGCCCACTGTTGTTAACTAAAATCGTTAATGTAATAAACCTTTTTTTTTTAATATGTAGACTGTATATTATCATGGTGATTTAAGTGGTGAATAACTCTTTGTTTATGATCCTAAATTAAGTGAATTATAATTATATGAAGGTCAGGTTTTAAATATTAATGTCTCCAATTTCACATATAAAATACGCATGATTATAGCGAAATTCTGGGGAGTCTCTGAATCACTACCAGATTTTTGCCTGTGAGATGACCCACCGCTACAGTCTGACTGACAGATATTAATCTTCATATGTACAGAATGTAACACAAAAAGAGCTCATGAAGGTTTCCCGAAGTGAATAATTTCGACACAGATGTTTGTATGCCCAAATGCAAACATTATTAGACACACAGAAGCACGCACATACACAAATACACATAGGTCTGTGCCACAAGCAACTGAAAGAATACGACTAATCTCCAGTTTGAAATCAAACTGACAATGAAAGACAATCTTTCCTCTCCAGAGTAATGCCCAGTAGCAAAAGCATTAAGGATGGCTGATTGGATAAAACCATGACTAATAACTCTGCTCCTGATCCAAGGATGGATATCCAAAGGGGGCACAGAGGCGGCCAGTGGTTGTGTTGTAAACTGAATGCTTTTTTTGTGTGTACTTCTTCTTTGTAAGGTATCTGGCAGTAATCCCTGACTTATTGCTTTTTTACAAGTTGGCTAGTTAGTTCCCAGTTCAACCATAATGGACTGTAAATTTACCTGCTCGATTATATTTCAGATATTAGTGGAAACATCTGTTTTTTCTTTGAACACCCTACAAGGCCTGACAGGATTTGGATCAGTGGCATGTGTACCATCCTACCTATGGACTAAAGCCAATTAAATGGCCACTTGGCTGTGTGTTTGTCATGTCACTGTGGTTTAATAGGTGAATGTATGACTATGTGAAAACAAAGACAATGTGAGGAGAGAATGAGCATCTCCACCCACCACTGTCCTAAACCAACCATCTCCACAGTCACCAGAGTGATACATCCACATTGCATTGCCTTATTATCTCTATAGAAAAGAAGGTATGATGAGCAACTTTTTACAGTTGATTTTGATGCCAAATAAAATTGCATTTGTTAAAAATAATAAAAATAATATTCAAATAATAATATTTTTTTGTTGTATCTATCAAATTCTAGTTATTATAGTTTTACACCAATGACCTGTCAAAAAAGTTAGTCCTACTGCACAACATGCCCCGATGTAGAGGGATAATGAGCACAAGGATGGGGTAAATTGAGCCCTCTAGGGGTTAAACAGTTATGGCATAATTTTGCATTTTGTTAATGCCTTTAAGTAATGAAAGTAATCAAAGGCAAAATACACCCTTTCAAAAATACCATATATCATGTAATACCATATGTTTGCATCCTGCTGTTCGATATGATATCTATATTTTCATGTATGTATAATTTCATAACTTTTATGTCATGGAATCTTAAAATGTTCTCCTATGTCTATTATATACACTTCATTGGGGAATTATTACTGCATAGTGTCTGGATATTGCATATGTACAGCATTATTTATTAAAATAATGCTGCAGCTGGATAGTGTGGTGGTAAAACTACACACCTCTGGAGCGGGAGTTGCAAGTTTGATTTCCACCCAGTATCCAGTAAGGGTCCTGGCCTGACCTATATATACTTTATATCTGTGTACGTGTATGCTGTTGTTTGTAAATCAATTTTCCCAAACATTTTTTAGTGCTGTAGCACTGGAATATGTTGTCGTGCATATCTGTGAATAAGTGTCCATCAAACAGTGACACTTCCTGCAATGCTGTTTTTTCTGTAAAGACAAAACTACTCATAAGGAAATAATAATGCAAGAAATTATTATTTTCCTATTTTTGTATGAATAATAAAACCAAGAGCAGCTATAATACCACCAACCTCTGACTCTCTCCCCCACCGATGTAGGAGCGGTGCTGAGCAGGATCAATGTCCACAAGGCTGCAGGCCCTGATGGCATCCCCGGGCGTGTTCTCAGAGCGTGTTCTGGGGAGCTTGCAGGAGTGCTCACAGACATATTCAATCTGTCCTTGGCCCAC